AAATTAGCTGAAGGATGGTGGTCTTGAATTTTTTTATTTTTTTATTTTTTTATTTATTTTTTTTAGACCAGTGATGAGTTCAGATCCTGTTCATTTGCTTTAGCCTTTTTTGGGTCTTTTTGTCTTTTGTCCTAAAGCGCTATATAAGTTCGGCACAATTACCATTTACTTGTTGAATTCCCTTCATTTCTAAGCACACTGTACAAGGTGCTGTGATGATCAGGGACATAAACTGGACAGAAACTAAGTGAAAARGCATCCAAATTTAGGGAGATGTTCAGAAAGCCTAAACATTTGATTAAGACCACTTTAAAAGATCRCTTGAAGTTGTCTACCCAGAGGCAAAATAGAAACACATTAAGAGCCATGTAAAACGTTTGCACAATGCATCCAATACAATCCACTGTAATACAATAGAAATGGGTAGCTCTGTAATTTTTATTGACCTAGTTAATGGTTTAGTGGGTTGGTATTAGCAGCTTTGTTTTGTTTTTCAAAAATACAAAATTTTCTAACCATCTTTATGACCTCATTACCTTTTCTACTGATGTTGAGGAACAAAAAATTTGACCGTACCGTTTGTAGATGTCAGTGTGATTATGGTCATGTGACCTCTGGGTACTTGGTGATATTTCCGCAGAGGTAGGAGTCAGGCAGAGGTTTTGGTGGTATTTCACTCTGTAAAAGGGTGACATGTCACATGAAGGAGCAGAAACAAGCTTCTTGAAACAACAGAGAGGAACTGCAGCCGTGTGTCTGTGTTKGGCAACCAGCAAAGACAAGACGTGCTGGAAAACAAACAGCGGAGGGAAGTGAACACTTGCTACCGTCCACATGACTCCTGGAGTACGGCTCACGGAGAGTTTTAGTGACYGGGCTTTTTATTCACTCTGTAGGTGGATGTTCTTCTCCTTTATCATTCCTGGAGTATCATGGCAGTCATTTGACCTGTGACAGTGTGTACCACTCTGCCCTATCAGTGTCCACACGCACATACACACACGCACACACACACGCACACACACACTCTTTCACATGGACTCCACCCCCAACTCTACACCCCACATTCAAAGACCTTCTCTGTCTGTTTGACAGTGTGTATGCTTGGGTCACTGCTCTACTTTGCTTGATACCACCCCACCACCCCACCCCGTGTGTGTGTGTGTGTGTGTGTGTGTGTGTGTG